GTCGTATGGACCAATAATTATAATAATAATTAATTAAAAAAATGTTGAGAAAAAAACAGCAACGAAAAGTTATCTTAAGTCTTATACAAGTATGTATGTAGTTATCATTATAACAACTTTCATTCTTAATATTATGCATGCTTTTTATATGTATATAAGCGTTTTAAAATAAAACTCAAAGAATAATAATTAAATTTGCTTTTTATTATAGTTTTCAAAAACAATTATTATTATGCGCCTTTTACTTTTCCCTTTTAAATATCTGTGTCATTGGAAGGGACAATGGTACAACATGACCTTTGAGATCTACTGCGTTCTATTCAAAATTTCTATGTTTTATCAAATATTTGCTATAATTCTCATTAAACAATAATACACCATAACCTATGAGAACTATTATGGAGATTAAAAGTTATATGCTTAGGCGTTACTCGAATTATTTGAAAGTGCATAGCACTAAAGCTAACAGAGAGAATGACGAATACGAATGAATCAATTTTGAGTCATTTTAATTAAGAATTTAATTATCTATATCATTAGAGTGGATATATGTACATCGCGACCTAAGAGATGTATTGTAAAATATCTATATACTTTGTAGACCATTAGCTGTTCTATTTATAGAGACAATGGTACACCACAACTTATTGTATACTATTTGCTGTTCTGTTTACTTCTTCTTCTAGGCGAACAACACTAAACGAATAGCACTAAAACTAAAACAGAAAGATGTATGACTAAATTTATGTCACGCTGATAAAGAATTCAATTATCTGTATCATTAGAAAGGACAAAGAAATCAATTGCTGTAAATAAAATATATATATATATAATTTATTCACTATTCTATTTACTTTATTAAGAAGAATAACACTAAAAGAATAACACTAAAGCATACTGCACTAAAGCAAACCACACTAAAATAAACTCCACTAAATCGATTACATAGAAAGACGTTTATCTTTAGTCCTCAGCGTACTGCACTAAAGCGAGATGCACTAAAGCGAGATGCATTAAAGCGAACAGCACTAAAATAAACTCCACTAAATCGAATACATAAAAATACGGCTATAACTAAATCATTTCCTAAGTCACATTGATAAGGAATTTATATGTATGTATTATTTAAAGGGGACAAAGAAATCAATTGTGGTAAATAAAATATTTATATAATTTATTCATTGTTCTATTTACTTTATAAAGGCGAACAACACTAAAAGAACAACACTAGAGCGTACTGCACTAAAAGAACAACACTAGAGCGTACTGCACTAAAGCGAACCACACTAAAACAACTCCACTAAATCGAATACATAGAAAGATGGCTGTAACTAAATCAATCCTAAGTTAAGAATTTATATATCTGTATCTTTACAGGGGACAAAGAAATCAATTGTAGTAAATAATATATTTATATAATTTATTCATTGTTCTTTTTACTTTATCAAGGCGAACAACACTAAAAGAACAACACTAGAACATACTGCACTAAAACAAACTGCACTAAGTCGAATTCATAGAATACATAGAAAACTAAATCAATTCAAAATCACACTGATAAGGAATTTATAAATCTGTATCAATGATACAATGGGACAACGGTACACCATAATCTTTAAGATCTATCGCACCCAAAATAAATATTTATATACTTTAAAGAAAAACACCTTAAAAAACTCTATTATACTCATTTCCCACAATGTGTGTAAAGTGTGTAAAAATATGTAAATTTAATTTATGAAAACCTTTTGTAAAATGTAGTCAGTCAGTCTCATGTGCGACCATAAAAATTTACTTTGTATCGAAAGTTCAAAATTACAAAACCCAAAATTCACCTCCACTTATCAGACTTCGTTCTTGTGTGGAAACACTCAAGTCCGCAAGTCTTTGTTTGCGTCTACGCTGCGCTTATGCAATGAACACAAATGCAACAGCTTCTTGTACTCTCACTGCTGCCATACGACCATACGGCGATACGGCGATGCCTTTAAACTCGACCTTGACATTGATATGTTTATGTGCGCGTTGATAACGAAACTACCCCCAACACAAGCCAATAATACATAAATACAAAAAATATATATAACAGAATAGATACATTTTAATTTTTTCAATAAACCTCACAACAAATTAAATGTTTTTTATAATTATTAAAAAATTAAATTAAATAAAAAAAACTATATTATTAAAAAAATTATTGTTAAAAAAAAATTAATATTAAATATAATTAATATTATAATATAATTATTATTATTAATATAAAAAAATAACACTAATATAAAAAAAATAATACTAATATAAAAAAACATAATGCTAATATAAAAAAAATTGTTACTAATATAAAAAAAATAATACGAATATAAAAAAAAATTAATATTATTAAAATATTAATATTATTATAAATAAAATAATTAATATTTGCTTTAAATTCACTTACCGCCAGTCAGAACAATTTTATAAACACGTTTCTTTTCCGAATTGTTCATTTTGTTTAACTTTAGGCCGGGCCTTGGATTCAGTTTCGGTGAATTTGATTTCTCCATTTGTTCTTGTTTATTGTTAACTTCAATTGCTTCCTGTTGTTGTTTTACACTATTTGAAATTTTATCACCGCCATTCGCAGACCCGTGCTGCTCCATCTCTGCACTCTTTAAAACTAAACAAATGCCCACGTACGAAAAATTCTACTACGGGTATTCGCTTTAACAGCTGATTTATCCTTTAAGCACAAACACCGAACAGCCAACAGCCAAACAGCCACAAACCAACAACTAAACCAAGAGCACTTCAAGCGCTAATAAAGCGTTAGAAGAGAGCGTGGCAGGGGTTTGTTTTTTAATTGATAGATTCGCCTCAACGTGCTTTTCGTTTCGACGGTTGAATGAATATTTTAAGGTTAGGAGGAGCTAAATTTGCTTCATTCTTGTGTATCCCAAAATTTTGTATAACTTAAATCAAATCAACAGCGCGTCGCCTCAAACACTTTTCTCCACACAATACAATTATCGAAGAACACAATATATATTTTAATTTTTTTTAATTTGATTAATATAACAACACTTCTTCATACACAAAAACAAATAAATTTATTCATATTTTTACACATACGATGAGAACGAATTAAGAACACCACCACAACACCGAGCAAATAATTTAGAAAAAAAAAATAAACAATTAAACAGCCTTTAAGAGCTTTTTAATATCAAAGTTTTTTTAACTGTTGTGAGCACATTTTTCAAATAAAGTCTTTTCAGGATATTCTAATTTCAGAAAATTTCTTAAATAATCGCACGACATCGGCTAACAAATTTGCACACCACCGCTAGAATAAAACTGTCCGTTCAAGCCATAGAATGAACACCTCAGCTTTCCTAAAAATATTTACCATTTATATAATTTTTTTTTTGAAGCATGCGGTCTAGAAGTGCTTTCGCTCTTTAGTGTTGGAAAACGAATTTCTTGCAGTTCTTGACTTAAATGTCTTATTTTCGTTGACTCATTTTTTTTTCGTTAAAATCTGTATCGTTTGATTGTATTATAACATATGTAATGTTAATGCCGAATATCTTAGATGCAAAATAAACTGAAATAAATTTAAATTGAATATTATAACTGTTTGTTTAAAAAATTTGTTTGACAAGTTATGCAGTGAGTTAGTTATAATTACGTCAAATTTAAAATTATTATTATTTTCAATATAAATCAGAAATTTATGAATAAATATATGTTTCCACTACCTTTACTAATGAAATTTGTATAATACCATGTTTCCACTGTTTACTTATTAAGTTACTTAAGTAACTTTAATATTCTGTCGTTTCCATCAGCATAAGTTACTTATTGAATGTGAAAGAGCTTTTATGTGTCAGGAAGTTCTGTAAAAGTTTTAAGAGCGCTTTTCTTTATTTGCATTTCAATTGTAAGCAGATGATATTTAATTGTGTATTGTTAGCGAAAATTCATTAATTGATGCTTGAAAACGCAGAAAATCCAAATAATTTAATCTATAATGTTTGTGAAATTGTTCACAACATGATTTAAGCAATAGGTGTATACAGAAAACAATTTGCAATGTTTCGAAAAAATATGTTAATTATTAAAAACACAAATAGCATTATTTTATTATAAATATTTATTACGTATTTAATTTATGAAAACAATAAACTTTATTAAATACTTAATAATTTTATATTTTGTTTTTAAAAATATCAGCCACGCCAGTATGAGTTATATTTTATTTTCAAAAATAAGAGTTATTCTTGATTTTTATATTTTTAAAGCAAATATAACAGTTATTTGTGCGTTTTAAAATAAAAAGCACATAATAATAATTATTTTTATGAATATAATGTAAATTTAGTTATTTTTTAAATTTTATATATAAAAAGCATGCTCATATATAAAAAGCATGCATAATATTTAGGATGAAAGTTGTTATAAAGGTAAATATATACTTAACAGTTTAGAAAACTTTTTGCCGCTGTTTTTTTCTTCAAAATTTTTAAAATAACTATTATTTTCGATCCCTTATTTTATGGGTTACTAATGATATGATAAAATGGCTACTTGAACTTTTATGGTACAATTGACGTAAGCCATTAACATTTTTATTGCCAATGTAATGAACTTTTCTCTCAGACTTCGTTGTTCAACACTTACAATTTTGTTAAAGAGAATATTTTCATAAAATGAATATCGAATCAGCTGTTTGTGCTCAAATATAAACAAAATTCAATAATTGCAATTATTGCAAAAAAAAAGAATATTTAGTGAAACTGTTCAAATTTTTTATTATAACTTAAATTTATAAATTAAACTGCTTTTTTAAAAATTCTTTAATGTACTTTATTTTTCCAAAAAAAAATACAGAATTTTGATGCTAAAATGAATTGCAGGTTATTTACTTTCATTGTATGCAATATATGCTTCGCATATATAGATTTTTTAATTTTTTTACTAATAGATTCTTTAAAAATACTTTCATTTTAGGTGCAACAAAATATACAAATCAGCGACCAAATATCGTCCATCAGTTGAGGTTAGATTTAGTTGGAGTGGGTGACTTACATACCAAAATCCACTTAATCACAAATTATGGACCGTTGTGTTACCACGGATCTGCAAATTCGGGACACTATTGCTCAAAATGTTTAAATATAAGATATGAATTACTCTTAGCAATGCGCCGGTTGATTCTAATATACATAACCCTCTACCCAAAAATTACGGGGAATGGCGAATGAAAACTCCGTTATCTAATAAGGACGTTTATTTATCTACCAACTTGCGTAGTGCTTGAAACATACTGTTTAAGGACGCGCTTAACGAAGCAACAAGCTGCCATATAGAGGCGTTAAAGGAATTGTGGAAAAATTTAGTTTATAACACTACGAAACTTTTAACTAAGATTATAACATTGACGGTCGACTGTTTAAGGTGTGTTGTATCTGGATAGTATACCAAGAACGTATAAATATTTGAATTACTAAAATCTCTTGTTAATTATATTCATATATTTTAGATAAAAACTGATCGCTGTTTTCAAAGTTATATTCGCCACCAATCACCTAATCATGTAAGCAGCAGCCGAAGTACACACTTGCTTATATCGTTTGCAGCACTCAATGATATCGATAGGGTCAGCAAATCGACTAAAATATTAATAATCTAAAAATAATAAAATGACAAATAACATCTGCACTACACATAATGGTTCCAAGAACGGTCAGGTCTTCGTCCCGGAGTCACTCGTCGCCAGCGACGACCAAATGCCCTCAACACCTCCCAAAGGAACTTCACTAGCAGGTTTCAGCGGATTACAAGAACAAAACATAATGACTTGAATATCGAAAACAAACAAATCAAAGAACACAAAAAGCAGGTGACATTACGATGATTAGTAACGACGAAATTAAACAGATCACAAACTAAATGAGTGTTTGTCTTAAAAGGTAATTAAAATTATTATTATGAATTTTCTTTTTAACAGAAAGTATTTTTACAGCATCTTTATGTAACGAGCTATTCTGTTTACCTGCTGTTATTGTTGTTGTAACTCGCTAGGTCCTGAAAGCAGATACCATAAAAGATTTACAAGACGATCAACCCGGGTCCCGACGGATAAATCTGGCCATTTCAATGCGTTGCGTCCAAAGGTCAAGTAGACGGAGGTTTGTGTGTGCAGTAAGACAAGATAACAAATGCTCGACGTTATGACGGTAGAACTGCAGTTTGGGCACAATTTAGGAATAGACGTGGTTATGTTCACCTGCGTAGATCTTTGGTTTACACAATAATTATTGGAGCAGTAAAGTTCTAAATTGATAAAAATGGGCAGAACTTTATTTCAAATTCCCTATTTTTAATTATGAAGCGAAATATTATAAAACGATCTATAAGGCATTAGATAGCTGATGCTTTAGATTGAAACCGATTATTGATTATGGATGTATCAATTTTCTTATTAAAAGAAAACATAATTTTTGGTTTAATAAGGTATGTAGTTTTTTTAATTAAAAAAAAAAATTTAAATAGTCAATATTAATTTTCAGTACGAGTCTATCAGACCAAATCAAACCAGCTGTTTTATTTAAACGAAATATTTTGTTGTTGAGGTTGTTAATATAATTTAAGCTGGCGATATTTCACGGGAGTCTACCATAATACACAGTTGTTAGTAAAAATACATATATTTCCTGAAATATATCTTTTTTACATTGGCGTGTAAGAAACAAAATCTTGAATAGTGTTTCTACACGTTGGATCATAATCAATTTCACTGTTCATGCGACTTTTTGTACGTTAATATATAACCGATTTTTGGGCTTAATACAACGATCATTTACATTACACTAAGAGTGTCAACTAGCGACTATACAATTAATTTGTCAACAACAATATTAATAAGCATATCATCTATATAATCAGCATTACACAAAACATAATCTACATAATGTGAAATATCTTCTACTATGTAATAGCTTATAAGCAGTATGTCATATAGAATATAAGTTTAGGATCATCCTAATAGAGTAGTAGATAGACTTGCATTTTGCTATAGGCAACGAAATATGCAAATATCATCTTTCTTTTATGTTATTTTGAAAGTATTTTTTTTTTTTGTTTTTTCTCTCGAAGTAATGAAGACTTATTCAATTGCTTGTATGAGCCTGTGCTCAGATTAAATAATTCATTAACTGACATAATACTTTTTTTAGTAGAAATTTTTATAGAGTTCTAGGGCTCAAGCTGAGGTTGCTTAGAATAATTTAATATGGAACTCTATTTCGTTCTGGACTTATATCCATATACTAGAAGCTATCCATAGGTTAGCGCTAAAATGATTACTTTCCTGCAATAAGATTTGGCTATAGCTGTAGCAATATATGTTGTGTTCGCAATTGGATTGATTAATTGTTTCACTTGCAAAATTCGATTCTTCATATGTTTGAGCTAACATATTTCTGCAGTCGTTGTACCTTTTCAGGATTTACAAATTTTTTGAACAGAGACAAATTACAAGTCTATTTCTGTATTTTTGATATAAAGAACCTATACATACATTAAAAATTTTTATTTAACTAATTTTCATGTACATATTGTATTTATATTTGGTTTTTTTCTGATTTGACCTGTGATTAAAATTATCTTTAGACACAATACATCTTAAATTTAGGAATATGTATAAAATAATATTGAATATGTTCCTTTACTTAAAGCAGATATTTTCTAAATAAATATATATCAATATGAAATAGACTTGTAGTAGTGTAAAATCTATATACATATTTAACTTAGTTATCAGTATGAAAATATTAAGCCGGTATACAATCGATGTAAATTAAATAAATAAATAATGACTACTGTATAATAACAATTAGATTTAGCAGTTTTTATTTTTTAGCTATTATAATGCAAATTTAATACTTATTGTTTGTATATTTTTAATACACTTTTGTAAGAAATAATTTTACATTTGAATAAGGTGCAATGTGATAATGAATCAAAATCTATTCTAATAAACGTATCTCATTATATGCAACTTTTTTATTGTTATTTGTATTATATTAATTTTTTCTTTTAATATAAATTTTAATATAATCGATATATATGTAAAAACAAAGTTAAACATTCTAATACTAAGTTACAATATCATTCATTTGTTGAATTGGATGTTAATGATACAATAATACTTCACCACATCATCTTATACTTTAACTATATCACACCTAATACTTTAATTATCAAAATCGTGTTTAGTGAAAGATATTATTTCATATATATCCCAGAGGCTCGCTTACAGAGAACTGATATCATAAAAACAGTTGACTTCCTTGAAAAGAGCATATACATACATAGTGCAAATAGTCTTATTGTGTGTTTACTTAGCACATTAGGCTACAGTTAGTCACACAAGAAACTTAATCCCTTCCCCAATAACTAATATCGCAATTGTATGAATATGGAAAGGGCGTCACATACTCTTTGCCGGTACTAAGTACACATCCCAATACTCTTATTTAATGCTTTTTAATGAACTTACATTAAACAATTTCTATAGTTCCATAATTTTCAACCCAGAGGTGGCTGAGTGCTGGTTTTTAATATTATCACTATGATACGATTTGGTTACCCCTATTTTCTGATAGCCTATTAACGCTGTTGTGGAAAGTTTTTAAAATTAATTTGATTCATTATAATTAAAGCAGCTTTGTAAATTAAAATATAAAAGGAAAGAGGGTAAAATATTGTAATGTTTACTCTAGACCTAGGTCAACAGCTGTATAACGTAACCAAACATGAAATTATTATTCTAACCTCAGCTAAACCAACTGATTTTAAATACATATTATATTGTCTGGATATTATAGCGACACTTTGGCCTTTTACTAGGTCGAAGCATATATATATATATATATATATATATATATATATATATATATATATACTTGCTCGCAGAACCTGAATCACTTTTCTTAGTCATATTCTTTTTTCCTTCTAACGTATGCATTACTTAAAAGAACCACAGATTATTTATAGAATCGTGTACCTAAAAATTTATTACAGTACATTAAATCATTGTATAGGCTCTTACAAAAGTTTTATAGTAAGAAGCTTTGATATTGTACTATGTCATATATATGTAAGAAAAGTGATTCAGATTCTGATTACCATTGAACACTGAATTACATTTCTTACAAAAATGCTTCGCTATTATTAAATTTGTTGATGTCTCATTAGCGAAAGAGTGTTCAGGTTAAGATTGATAAGTTTAAGGCGCAGATGAAATCTGTATAATGTCTAACAGTTTTGATAATACTCGGGAATCTATATAAAGAAAATTGATGTGCTAGCAAGAGCTGCCAGAATACTTATAAACAACATCAAAATAAAATCGATTCGAGTAAACAATTCAAAGTAACCAAACTTTAAAATAGGATGCTCTAGCCAGGAAGAATTCTTAAGTTTTTATTAGTTAGTAACTTTTTAATGACAATAACAGTCAATAAGCCAAACAAAACAATATAAAAGCTAAATAACCAATTGGAATCATTAATAAAATAAGAAGATCCCATAATCTCTTTCAATAATAGTACACAATTCAAACCTTGTCTGAGAACTCTTAGGAAATGGGAGAATTAAACATGCAACGGTTCTAATATAAAGACCTTCTCTAGCAAAATTTTATTTACTTCCTTTAACTTCTTTGCTGCTATTTCTATGGGTACTAGACCTTAAAATGGCCATACATTTTGCTAACAACCTGCGAAATAGTCGCATTAAAATTGGGGTGTCTGTTGAAGTCTTTTAAATAAAAGATTGTTACAAAATGTACTCATAGAAGTAGGATCTTTAATAGAAGTCTCTACTTTTTATTGCACAATCGTATAAAATCGTGTATGCTGAATATTTAAGTCCAAATTCACAGACCCTTGACTCTCCGGCACACACAAAAGTGCAAAAAAACGCGAATCATAAACTCTATTGTACCATATTTAAGATGAAAAACACTTGCCCTATGTATTATGATGTAATATAAAATGGAAAAATATCCTGCAATGTTGTGGTATCACCCTCGTTTTGGACGGTCGTGTACATTGAAACTACACGTATTGTAAAAATATGATGTTAAGAATAGATATCTCATAAATTTTCATGGAAAATAAACATGTGTAATTGCACTGTCCCTAATGTATTATGGTGAAATCTAATAAACGACAATGTGCAGTAGTGTATAGTACCACCCTTGTTTTGGACACTGGTATATGCTTGAATTATATGTATCAGTAAATAAGATGTTTGCAATAGGTGTTTAAAAAACTTACACACAACAAACACATTTATAAATGCAAGAGTTTCTCAGTTAATATAACAAGTCACATAATGGGACATTTGCCCTAGACTGGATATAAATTATTTCGCATCGTATTTTGTGACAAACGGGTTTGCAACTAATCACCTAATCTAATTCAACAAAAATCTATGTGATTAATAAATAAGATTAATAAAAAAATGGACCCTTTAGATGAAATGGATACTAAATACTTGAGATCGCAGTTCTTACCTAACCTAATTTAATACAAAAAAAATCTATTGTATATATATATGGTTAATATTACAAATATCACAATGGTTTATTCTGACGGAATCGATCCTAAATTCTTGAGATGGACGTTTTAACCTAGCCTAACAAAAATCTATATACTAATCATGTATGGGTTAATATAGCAAATATTACATTAGGTCCTCCAACTTAATTAGATCCTAACTCCTTGAGCCTTCTGTCTCTCTCTCTCTCTCTCTCTCTCTCACGCCATTTAATATAACCAAATACAACAAAAATTTATATATGTATATGAATATATACATACATATGTATGTACATTATTAAATTTTTTATTAAAACTATTTTCGTAAAATCACCCAAAAGCCAGTACTGCGGCCAGAAGAATCCTTTTGCTCCAAATTCCACTTTTTATTACATATAGCCCTTTAAAGTTGTGTGTACAAAGTCCAGAACTAAAACTGGAGAAGATTTCTTCATGTGTTCTAGTGACAGAAATTCAAAATGTTTCCCCAAATTACCAGAAATATACGTATGTACATACATACATATGTACATAAAATAAAGTTTAGTGTTTTCTTCATCAACCCGAAATAACTAAATATTAACTGATAGATTAATGAATTGCTATAAAATCCTATATTAGTGTTTAGTAACATAAAATCAATCAATTTGTTCTAATTTATTATTTGAGTTATCTAACAATTATCTAATTTAATGTTTTAATCTAGTTTTTCGGATAAATATTGAAAAAAAACCGGCTTCTCTAAAAAGTTGACTCGAACTGCTTGATATTCCATAACAACGCTAAGATTTTATACTTAAGTCGTGATAAGATAACACTTCATAAAATTATTTTAATGGATCAGTGCACCTATAAAACTTCTTTAAAATCTAAAATATGAACTAATAAAAACTGAAGATTAATAGAGCATTCAAAATTAATAAGAAAAAAAGCCCGGCCAAATACAAGAGTGAAGACAAAAGCAGAACGAAGAGCAAAACTGGCCAAATCGCAAAGACTAAATGGTTTACGTGTTCCAATGTGTAAACTAAACTAACTGTTTATGGTCCGCCCAGAGCTTAATTGGTTTTAAACAGTAGTTTTACTTGTTTTGGGCATCACATCGCATTCATCTAAAAATCCTAACACCCACAATATTTTCATTTATGTATCCATTAAAATAATGAATATTAATTTTACATCGAAAACTTGTTTAAACGCTAAATTGCATCTCAAACTGGAAACTAATGAAAAAAGCAAACAGCAAAAAATATATATTTTTAAATATATATAAAATTAATTAAAAAAACAAAAACAAATCTGTATATATTTGTATTGTTATTGATTGATAGTTATTTTAATATCTGTAAGCAGCTTTGTACAAACGAACGCACATATGAAGACATACTTGTGTATTATCCATAAACCTACTCTAAACTCCATCCACACAAAACGAGAGCATGATTCATTTATGATTCAATCATACAAATGTATGTGTTTCTACATTTTGCTAGTGGTAGGAGTATTAGTGATGCTAAAATCAATATTATTTGGTATTCGATAGAATTCCATAGTTTCGTTAAATAAATGATGTTGCCATATTAATACTTGTATGCACAGAAATGTTGGTTTCGAAATGTATGGTTCGAAATGAAATATATAGTTTATTGATTTTATAAAATTCAGTATTTTTATTTATTTATTTATGCTGATTAAAACTTATATGAACAATTAAAAGATATATAAAATAAAAAACATAATATTAATGGAATAACAAAACTTTAGTTTAAAATTTAAGAAAATTATTATTAAACTTTAGAACTACCATTGTCTCAATACCATTGTCTCATTTAAGCGATTTTGCTCATTACAGCTACTGAGGAGAATGATTAACTATACAAAAATCTTTCGCATAATGAAATATTATTATCATTTCATTATCAATAAAAATAGGTCATTTAAGGCGATAAATATCGATTGCAACCCTTAAAAATAAATTTCCCGCAAAGGAAATGACCTATATTTAAATTATGTGTCATATGTTTGATATGTGATATGTTAACAAACAACAAGTGAGGTGTAAACAAAGGAACTGAGGAAGTAACTATTAAATAGAATTGTTATTTTTGTTAATTTCATATGTAATTGATATATAAAATGTATATAAATGCTTAAATACATCAATTATATATATAATTTATTTGTATGATATATTATTAAGTGAAGTTTATAAAAGTTTATGAAAGTTCTATCAGTTGTATAAATAAGCTCATTATTATGTGAACGTTCACTCATTAATATAAATGAGCAAATGCCTAAATGAGACAGTGTGAATGTACTGTAATAATAGTTTCATTTACATTTACATTTACATTGAAATTTTTGTTAAATTTCTCCAAAGCTATGAGTAATAAATTTCTTTCGTTTATAAGTACATTTTTGCATTACACAACTGCTTTCAGCTTAATTTCACGCAACTGTCAAATGTTTCCAACCCATAAACTAAATAATATTTTTATCAACTGTTCGGATTCTGTTCATTTTGAACATGGAAAATTCTTAATTGGATTCAAGGCTGTTAAGGTTTTAAGAATTTTGCCAAATATTATTGATCTAAACATATTGATAAAGTTGATAAATTCGTGCCATACATTTTGTATGACATATATGAAAACTATATTATTGACACTTGCAATTGTTAATACAAATACAGTTAAACAGCTGACCATACAGTTCAACAATAATCTTAATTTTTAAAGAAATATATAATAATTAAAATAAAACAATATAATATTTCCAAAAAGACCATCTTCAGGGTACTGACCATGGACTATAATAGAAATATTGGCGGCAATAAAATATATGTTTTGAAATTCATTCAAAAAGTTGTATTATTTAAACAATTGACCAATTGTTATACCGTTTAAAAATATACATTATAATTATATATATAAATATTATATACTCGAATATAATAAATAGGTCAATATGTATGATTATAATTATTCAAGTGGCAACACATTTTTCGTTGCCCACACAAAAGTAGCTTCGATAAAAATGATCGATCCGTTGGTTATTTTTTGCTTTTTGCTTTGAAAATATGACGAAACCGAGGTGTGGCCGCTTTGCGATGCTTAAACATTTTCATTCGTGATTTCTCCGTTGAGGTGTTCAGTTGTCTGGTTCTCGTGCTCTGAGAAAACTAAAAAAGTTATTTAATTTTTAAGTACAAAGTATTAAAAAAAGTAATTAATTCAATATGAGAGAAATTGTACATATTCAAGCCGGTCAATGCGGTAACCAAATTGGTGCAAAGTTCTGGGAAATTATTTCTGATGAACATGGTATCGATAGTACCGGTGCCTATCATGGCGACAGCGATTTGCAGTTAGAACGCATCAACGTGTACTACAATGAAGCGTCTGGTGGAAAATATGTGCCACGTGCCGTTTTGGTAGATTTGGAACCAGGCACTATGGATTCAGTGAGATCTGGTCCATATGGTCAATTATTTAGGCCAGATAATTTTGTTTTTGGTCAAAGTGGTGCCGGTAATAACTGGGCGAAAGGACATTACACAGAGGGTGCCGAACTCGTCGACTCTGTTTTGGACGTTGTACGAAAGGAAGCTGAATCATGCGATTGCCTGCAAGGTTTCCAATTGACACACTCACTTGGTGGTGGTACTGGCTCAGGTATGGGTACACTACTTATCTCAAAAATTCGCGAAGAATACCCCGACAGAATCATGAACACCTATTCAGTAGTACCATCACCAAAGGTGTCAGATACCGTTGTCGAACCATACAATGCCACTCTATCAGTTCATCAACTTGTAGAAAACACCGATGAGACCTACTGTATCGATAATGAAGCTTTATATGACATTTGCTTCCGCACATTGAAACTCACCACACCAACATATGGCGACTTGAACCATTTAGTATCATTAACAATGTCTGGTGTAACTACCTGCCTGCGTTTCCCTGGTCAACTGAATGCCGATTTAAGAAAATTGGCTGTAAACATGGTACCATTCCCACGTCTACATTTCTTCATGCCTGGCTTTGCACCATTGACATCAAGAGGTTCACAACAATACCGTGCATTGACTGTGCCAGAATTGACACAACAAATGTTCGATGCCAAGAACATGATGGCTGCCTGTGATCCACGTCATGGTCGTTACTTGACTGTTGCTGCTATCTTCCGTGGTCGCATGTCAATGAAGGAAGTCGACGAACAAATGCTCAACATTCAAAATAAGAACAGCTCATACTTCGTTGAATGGATTCCAAACAATGTCAAGACAGCCGTTTGCGACATACCACCAAGAGGTTTGAAAATGTCAGCCACCTTCATTGGTAACTCAACTGCCATCCAAGAACTCTTCAAGCGCATTTCTGAACAATTTACTGCTATGTTCCGTCGCAAGGCTTTCTTGCATTGGTACACTGGCGAGGGTATGGACGAAATGGAATTCACTGAAGCTGAAAGCAA